TATATTTTTTTTTTTTTTTTGGAGTTTTTGGCCGGGGCTGAGTTTGAACTCACCACCTCTGGCATATAGAGCTGCCACGCTACTCCATTGAGTCACAGGCACTGCCCTATATTTAATATTTTTAAATAATGATTAAATTCTTCTGATTATGGATAAGACTATTTAATGTATAATCATGTAGAATAGCTAAATAATGGAGATGTGCTAAGGAGATAAGCTATATGTTGACCAATAAGAACTGTTTAAATGAATTGTGGTTTTACTACATATGCTGACATAGGTGGAAAACTATATTAGGGATGAAAAAACCAAGTATCTGGCCAGGCTAAAGCTTTTTTTTTTACAAAAAATAAAGATTTCAAATCTCTCTCGATTTTACATTAACAAACCATCTTCTATTTGGTTGCTGTGTACGGGAGCAGCACCCTCTGCCCCTCCTAGTCTTTCTGTCGGTGTGGCGTGGTGGAATGCTCTGCTCAGAATTCACTGTTTTCATCATAATTCTCCCTCCGCCCCCAAAGTAAAAGCTTCATTCTTTGTTGCTCTGCACTGCTGTCCTTTAACACTGCTGGCGTCCTATGTATGCACCTTCTAGTAATGAGCTTTTGCTTTTGCAAATCAGTTGGTTCTGGCTCTACAAGTTCTAGTGGACTGACTGGAAACTATATCCCTTCCTTCCTGAAAAAAGAAATTGGTTCTGCTATGCAGAGAGTACACCTGGCGCCTATTCCAAATCCTTCCCCTGGTAAGTTCTATTTTGGATTATTCACGAATGGATTCAACAAATAGTGAACAACACAACTGCTTTGTGCCAGGCATGTTGTAGACCTGGGCTCCACCATCAAACGAGATAAACAGAATTCCCTGCCCTCAAAGAGTTTACATTTTACAGAAAGAAGCAAACCAAATGAGTACTATGTAACATAGTAAGGCAGATGCTTACCGATGGAGTGCTAAGGGGAAAAATCAAGCAGCAGGGAGTAGGGATTTGGGGAGGAAGGTTTGGAGTGTGAGTGAGGATCACCATTTTAGATAGGGTGGCCAAAGAAGAGCTCACTGCAAAAGAATCGTCCAGGAAATCCCTGAAGGCAGGCACTGTGTTAGCACCAGCGTGGGTGAGACTGTTCCAGGTGTGGGCTTAGTCACTGTATGCGGGTTGTCATTGACTCTGGGCAATGCAGCACCCCCCCGGAGGGTTTTGAGTGGAAAAGAGAGGTGATCTGAGAGCTAGATAAGAAGCAGGGGAAACAATTAGGGGGCTGTCACATTTATCCAGGTAAGAAATGATGCTGGCTTGGGTCAGGGTGTAATAGTTGAGTTGGTAACAAGGCGCCAGGTTCTTAGCACCTTTCAAAGATAGATTGACCAGGAGATGCTGACACGTTATCAGTGGCATATGAAAAAGAGAGGAGTCAAGAATGACACCAATATTTTTACCCTGACAAATATAAAATGGAGTTGTCCTTAACTGTCATAGGAAAAATCCATTTTCTGATGTTTAGTCACCAGCACACATTTGTTATTTGCACTTTGCTCGCGTGGGTCCCATGTCCATTAGGCCAGCGTTCTCCTGTCATTGCAGGTTATTCTTCCCTGAAGGCCATGAGACCTCATCCTGGGCGACCTTTCTTCCACACGCAGCCTAGAAGCACTCCTGGGTTGATACCACGGCCACCAGCTGCCCAGCCAGTGCATGGCCGGACAGACTGGGCTTCCAAGTACGCGTCTCGGCGGTGACCAGCTGGGCGGTGATGCCCTTCACCGGGAGAAGCAGGACACTTTCTCTTAGCCCACTGGTGTCTTACCTGCAAGAAATGTGCAGAGGGTATAAAAGCAAATCAACACTTCATAGTTATTCTTCTGAACTAAGACATTTCAATATTCTTTTTTGAAGTTTTTTTTTTACATATTGATTTGAATGCAATACCTTTTTTTGTATAAAATTATTTTATTCTAAAACTGGGTCTCATTATTTTCTTAAACAATGGCATTTTGTATATAAGGATTATGTTTTAGCATTTTATACAGTCAACTTTGTAATGGACTTTTTAAAGATTAATTGATTTTCCTTTGGTGTTCCAGATATTTTATACAGATTTTGAAAAATGTAATAATATTAATGCAGTATTGCAACAAGGGTGCAATTGAAGGCTGTGCGATATAGAGATTTATTTACTCTGTGTGTGGGTATTTGTGAAGCGGTTAAATTTTAAATGTGGCTCATCAGATCTTCAGGCTTTCTTGGACTGACATTAGAAAAGTGACTTCTGCTTTTCTTAATATCATATCACATGTTTGAATTTTTTTGATATCACGTTGCAGTCCTAAAAGTACTACTATGTGACTTTGTTTTATTTTTGTTCCCCAAATAAGAGAACTCTAAGTAAATACTTTTTAAAATTTTTACACCCCCCCCACCCCCACTTAATGTGGTTGCAAATACCAGATGAAACCAAGTGTAATCATCCGGCGCCATCACATTCAATTTTCTTCCATTTTTAAAATCAAATTGTATGACTACTCATAAAGGGAGAGCTTTTCACATCAAGAGATTCTTAACATACAAGTTAACACAGTCAATTAAACTATCCCTGCGAAGATGCATATGACCAAAAAACTAAGCAACAGAAGGTTTTTGATTACAATAACTGAAATGGAATTTTACGTTCAGCTCAGTCCTTCAGGCCTGGCTAGAACATCCAGGGACTAACCTTCTGTCCTAGCAAAATACTCAGGACAATTTGGGGAGCAGAAGAGAGTTATGACAGAGTCTACTTATCTAGGAATCCACAGCTGCCTGAGTTAGTGTCCATAGCATGCCACATTTGAACTCCTAACCCTGGTGTAGTTTAAGAGTGAGAACTCTGTTGGGCCGAGGCTGTTCCATTGAGAGGAATGTTTACAGCAATTTTGAAAATGACAAAGCTAGTTTGGAGACAGAAAAAGACAAAAGGTCCACTCTCATCCATCTCTGTATGGCGCGTTTGTCTCTACTCATGGTTACCTTGCAGGTAAAAGGGAAGGTCGCTGCCATTGAACATGATGTACTCTCAGCAGGGTATTGACTCATTTCCCCAGGGATCTCACTACTCTTTCTTGGTTCCAGGTTCTAGGATCCAGGATGCAGCAAATTGACCCGTATGACGTTTTTGTAGGTTAAAATGGTGGGTTAAATGGATATAGGCACTTTCAAATGGTTCAACTTAATGAGCTGGTCAATGATTGCTTTGGTATATTAATAATTTGTTGCAGCCTGTTGGAGAGTTGTTTAGGTTTTGGAGATTCTGACTCCAAAATATACTTGACCAAGCACTATGATCCTTAGGGTCATGAGATAAGCACATGATGGATGTGGATTTGATAGGTGGTATTTTCCTGTTAACAAGCTGGCGGCAAAGCTTCAGAAAGTATATATGCAAGCACAACTTGACGCGGAATTCAATTCTGTATTATATTCTCAATTCATTATCTAAAGCATCAGAAAATGTGTTTTCAGAGATGAGTCCTTTACTATAAGGTTACTATTTATTTTCCTTTTCTGTATTATATATATTAAATTAATCTGAAACTTTGTCGGAAAACTGGTTAAATTGTAAATATCCTTTAGAAAAGCAACTAGATTGTTTCATATCATATTCTTCTGACTCTAGCTTATGTTAAGGTCATTACATATTTTCTAATGAAAAAACCTAGTTTACCTGGTTATTAGACATCACAAAATCGTTTTTCTAATACGTTTGTAGGGCCCAACTACAGAAAATCCTTTACTTTCTTCTTTACTCCTTCCAGCAACCAACTTCCCTTAGGAAGCCAAACTTTTTTTTTTTTTTTTGCAGTTTTGGGGCTGGGTCTGAACCCGCCACCTCCGGCGCCCTACTCCTTTGAGCCACAGGCACCACCCCAAACATGTTTATTCATACAAAAATCAAGAAAATCAGAAAGACTGAGGAAAAAACAGCCTAAATTCTAAAGAACTACCAAAACCCTATAAAGTACTGTCCCCCCTGACATGGATAAAGGACAAATTGTGTGAATAAGCTATGTACTATATAAGGGAATAGTGACCATCGATTAAGTGAAAATAAAATGCTACATCTATCTAGTGCATATATTTATAGTTATTATAGAATTATAAAGTAACGCACAACACCAACAGACCAACAGGAATGACGAGGTTGACTGTATCTATCCATGACCAAACCTTATTTTTTTTTTTGTTTTTTACAGTTTTTGTTTTTGGCCAGGGCTGGGTTTGAACCTGCCACCTCTGACATATGGGACCGGCACCTTACTCCTTTGAGCCACAGGCGCTGCCTGACCACACCTTATTTATAGACAGAAACCTTTCTGAGGTATCAGGAGATGTCTAGGGTTGGTTCTCATTCCATTCCCACAGGTTCAGTGACATTGGTGTGCTGAGGGCTACAGGTGGACCTCAGCTAGAATGAGCACAAGGAAAACTGCATTTGCATAAAAGCTACTCTGGATAGGATTGTCCATTTTATAATAAAATGCCATTCATTACTAAGCCTTCGCCCAGCTCATGTATGATAGAATTAAAGGAATAAAACTGATTTGCAAACAATTTTTTAGGCACATCTCTTGCCTGGTAGACTGTTTACATCTAATAAAGTGACACTGTCATCTTCTGGACTTGTCAAAAATTGAACACAAGGAAGGCAACATAACATAAAAATTCTTTTGTTTTTAAGTGTAAGTACTGGTACCGCTGGAGTTAATGGCCACCATGTTTTCTCATGAAGGAGCCTTCCCTACCATCAAGCCATTGTTTTGTGCCATTTAGGAGGGGAAACAAAGGAATTTAGGCTTTCTGTTTCAACTCGGTGTATGACCAAAAAGCAATATGTTTATAAGAAAATGTTTGACATATGGATGATGTCATTTTAAGCAGACTGTAGTGATGTGTTTGTTTCTTACATGTGATTACTTTTTAGAATTATTTTTACAATTTTCAACCAAATGTACTGTACTTCTGTTTATATAATTTATTGTGAGGACCTTCTCATGGAAACTATTAAGACAAACTGGAGGCAAATATCACATTAATCTGTATTATCATTTTCTTACATACACTGTACTAATGTGAATTTGAAATGACCTGAAGAAAGTCTTCTGATCTCAAATATCTCAATACTGATAGCAATTTAGTCACCTAATTTGATTACAATGGAGTAAGTGATGATATATTTATTTATAAAGCAAATAGTCATAATAATGAGATGATAGGAAGACTGAACACTACTTAAGCAAGACCCTTCTGAAAATGTTTTTTGAATAGTTTGTCCTAAGGCGTTTAAAAATGTTAACTTTATGGAAGGAAAATTCTTTTACTCCAAATAAAATCGCAATTGAAGAAAATTGATCGGTGTGTTCTGCTTCTGTTTTCATGTTCTTCCATTAGTATTTCCTAATTTTTGTACATTAGTTCATTTGGAACATTGATATTTAATAACGTCTTAATGCTTAGCATACAACATATTACTGCTGTGAAATGGAAGCATACACTTAGAGTACATCTTGAATCACCTGCAATGTGGAGCTTTTTAAAAATTCAACTTTTAGCAAGTTATATGCCTGGGATTTTTTTTCCAAATATTTTTGTTCCTGTTACTTTATTTCTTTTTTCTTTTTCTTTCTTTCTTTTTTTTTTTTTGGAGACAGAGTCTCACTGTGTCACCCTCAGTAGAGAGTTATGGCATCACTGCTCATAGCATCTCTATTTTTTGGGCTTAAGCGTTTCTCTTGCCTCAGCCTCCCAAGTAGCTGTAACTATATGGGCCTGCTGACCAAGCACTATGATCCTTAGGGTCATGAGAT